GGAATGAGCGAAAACATTATGGTGTAAATGATAGCTTCTTTCTCGCAGTTAGTTGACGGTAGCACTTTGCGCATGCGTCAAATATATATATGGCATATAGGGTGTCCCATTTTAATCGATGACCCCGAATAACTTTTTTAATTTTGATTGTAGGAAAAAATGATTCAGACAAAAGTTGTATGGCTTAAAGGGGGACATAAGATGGTGTCTTTAGTTTGACATTGAAGAGTCACCTGAAGGTCACGTGAAGGTCACATCCAACTTTTTAAATGGGACACCCTGTATTCTTTTACATATTTTTTTAGTTCATCTCGAGAGCTTTCCAAAACACTATAATTAAGTTAGTTTTCATTAAGTACTTTGCGAGGTATGAGGCTTGAAATAATATCTTAATTTTATATAAACCGTAAAATATCTAGTAAAATATTTATTTTTCGATTATCCTACCTTAATATTTTTATGTACAAAATAATGAAAGGAATCAATTGGTGTAAAGGAAAAACACAGTTGTTTTTAAGAAAAAATATGGAATTGTTAATTGCAAATTACATATTATTTCTTCGAAATAATTATGTGTTTTCTTTACAATAACTGATTCCTCTCATTATTTTATACATAAAAGTATTAAGGTAGGATAAAAGTATTAAAGTAGGATAATCGAAAAATGAATATTTTACTAGATATTTTATGGTTTATGTAAAATTAAGAAATAATTTCAAGCCTCATAACTCGAAAAGTACTCAATAAAGAAATACTTTATTATAGTGTTTTGAAAAGCTCTCGAGATAAGCTACAAGAATAAGTAATAAAAAATAGGAGGTTCCATTAAAAAAATTGAAAGTGGCCTTCATGTGACCTTCAAACAACTTTTCAAGATAAAACCAATGATATCATCTTATGTCCTCCTTCAATCCATACAACTTTTGTCTGAAACATTTTTTCCTACAATCAAAATTAAAAAAGTTATTCATCGGGGTCATCGATTAAAATGGGACACCCTATATATGGCATATATATATATATATATATATATATATATATATATATATGAAGCCGTAACATATAATAAATATGAAAATATTAAATTGTGGAAGTTTTTCAATTTATAGATTAATTAAATAATTATTTATTATACATTTAATTAACATACGAAGCATATCGTATCATTATTTTAGATATTTTCCTCAATGAAAATAAAACTACGCCACAAAATATCACAAAATATTGCAATATATAAATAAATCTAAACTACTCCTAAATGCATAATAATAGTCTGCGCCCCCAGATATCGCAAAATATCGTAAAATATCGCAATATAAATAAATCTAAACTATCTCTAGATAGAGAATATTATTTTACGCTCACAGATATCGGAAAATATCTAAACTTTATTGCTCGAATATCATCGAGCAAATGATAGCAATACTATAATGTACAAACAATAGCTATTGTCTACGTCATCAAAATCGAACATAATATTATTGATAATTGGATCCCGAAATATTTTATATATTATAAAATATACACGAGGTGAATATTAAATTATAGAAGTATTTTAATTTGTTGATTAAAATTGATTATTTATTAAACATTTCATCACGGAGCTAATTATTTGAATTTATTCGATTGTTTCATCGCGCTTTTCCGAATTCAAATTTTATAATATTTAATTTTGCATTTTAAAAGACCCATTGACGACCATTCCGAGCAATTGATCGAATTCTAAATTTAGCAATTGATCGAATTTAAATTTGTATACTTTATTACTAGATAAATTTTAAATTATATATTATATTATATAATATAACCCACCCATAGGGTACACCTTGTCGTGGTTGGATGGTGCCTTGAGTTTTATCTTAAATTTTTCTATTTATGATAAATTTAAGGAGCCTGAAGGGGAAGCTATCCTTTCGCCTCGTCGGTGCCGTCAACGTGCCGCAGACGATTCGTCACCGCGTTTTCGCGTTGTAATATTTTCACATTATCGAGCTTCATGCTCAAGTCGGCTTAGTGATGGTCACGCTCTACTTCGTCAAGCGATTCGGCCCGAATTGTGACGAAGTAGAGCGTGACCATCACTAAGCCGACTTGAGCATGAAGCTCGATAATGTGAAAATATTACAACGCGAAAACGCGGTGACGAATCGTCTGCGGCACGTTGACGGCACCGACGAGGCGAAAGGATAGCTTCCCCTTCAGGCTCCTTAAATTTATCATAAATAGAAAAATTTAAGATAAAACTCAAGGCACCATCCAACCACGACAAGGTGTACCCTATGGGTGGGTTATATTATATAATATAATATATAATTTAAAATTTATCTAGTAATAAAGTATACAAATTTAAATTCACATAACAAGACCGTAAAACAAAATCATCAGCTCACTGTTTATGTCGCCAAGGTAGGATATTAGGATAATTCATTGTGGAAATATTTTAACATGTTAATGTATCTTATATATCCAACATTTTAATGTATTGTAAGATTAAAAGATTAAATTAATATATATATATATATATATATATATATATATATATCGTGATATATAACTATTGTATAATTAACGAGGATTGCCGATTAAGAAAATTTAAAGCATTGGTCGAAATATTAATTTAATATTTAATTATAATATTTTTAAAGAAATATTATTATAATAAGCATTAATGATCGAAAGATCATAACATAATTAATTCTCTTATCTCCTTTTATGTATTTCCTATTTCAATTTTTATTCGTAGTAATGAATGATTGCGATTCGATAAAGATTTATTGTTGCGGAACATTTTTATGTCCTTCATTAGAAATTAATTAATTTTTAATTATTAATAATTATAACACATATGTTTCGATACTAATCGTAGTCATGTTTAAATTACAATATATGAGGCGTTTCGCACCACTACTTTATTACTCGAGTGTCACCGTGCGAATGATGACAAAGCCCTAACATAGCGCGTTATGTTTTTTTTTTATATTGCCAAAGTCGAACATCGTATTATCGATAATTCGTTGCCGAGATATTTTTTATATTATAAAATATACACTAACGCGGAATATTAAATTATAAAAGTATTTTAATTTATTGACTAAAATTGATTTATCAAATAATTCATCATGGAACTTTAAGCATAAAATATCTAAATAATATATTTTTGTGAAGCAATTTATAAAATATTACTATCTCTATAAAAGTATTAATTAATACGAGAACATTTTATAGATATTTTAAGTTTATTAAAATAAAATCCAGAATATTTTATATGTTATACTAATGTAATTTAAAAATTTAAATAATTTAGATAATTTAGAATGAGAGAGAGATTCGTAATATAAATAAATAAAATGAATTACTGAATGAATAAAATAAATAATTGCAGACCCGAGATAACATCACAGAAACAGAATCATTAATATTGAAATTGAAATAGGCGTCAACACATCATAAAGTAATTATTGACGACAGCTGTGTTTCATAAAATGTTTCGCCATCTATTGACGACAACAATTGATGGTAGTTAAAGAATTAACTATCCATTGATTTTAATAATCTGTTGTTGCAATACAGCGAAAATTAAATCAAACTTCAAATTTTTTCTCGAAAATAATATATATTAGAAGTGACATTGAAAAGATGATTTATTGAATCCAATAGATATTATCAAACTGATATAAATAAATTATAGAGGAATAAATTGTAAACAAATATTAATATTGGAATGTTTGTTCAATATTTCATTAAACATTCGACATGCATATTTTTGTATCTTATGTAAGATTTGCGCTTTAATGTATTAACTAGTATCAAATATTTTGTAAATTCATAAATATTAACACATACAATTGTAATTTTCTTTCAAGTTTTTTTTACATTATGTTTTAGAGCTCTTTTCTATTTCAAATTATATATATAAATTTTTGTATGTACTGATATTATTTTTATAGAGAATAAATTTTTATAAATTTATAAATATTTGTGAAAATATATATATTATTGTGCATCCATTAAAAAAAAACATTATATAAACACTTGTTGAAATTATTAAAAATATTCTTATGCAGAATGTCTCTTTAATAATACAAAAATATTTTTGGAAACAAAAATGTACCATTTAAAATATGAATGGACTGAATGAGTTACAAGAGGAAACCGGTTAATATCACATAATTATTTTCAATATTATTTAACAAAATGTGATTAACGTGTTTATCCCAAATTTTTGGAAATAAAGCAATTTATAGCGAGAAAAAGAGAAAATTTAGTTTTATGCACACTAGTGCATATTATAAAGGTTGTCACATACAAAATTACAGTAGTATAATTTAAATAATAAAGTAATTAATACTATAAGTTGTTATAATATATTATAATATTATAAAGTTATATATATATATATATATATATAACTTTGTCTTATATATATAAATTTTTTGACAAACAATTCTTAAGGATTTAAATTTCTTTTGAAATAACGAGTATCTTCGCGGAAAAAAATAAATTACAAACGGAATGGATCTAATAAAATGTCATGGTAACAGATCGAATTGACCATTCGAAGTCAGTTACTACTGTGATCGCTAGCCAAACGCTACCACAGTTATTTACCGCTTGATTCGAACTGCATATGAAGATTAGAGAAACCGTGTAATTGTGTATGAATAGTGGATTTTAAAAAACATAGCACGTAGTAACACAATCGTACGAATTGTCATAATTACATATTTAAAAACAGATATAGCAAATATTGAAGTGAATTCGATTATACGCTATGTGTGCTTGAATATGGCTGAAAATATTACAAGATTTATAATTCTATAACTTCTTAGATGGTTTGTAATTTGATTGTAATTACCTTTTTATTGACTGCTTTTCTATTAATGAAAAAAGAAAGATAATAATAATTATATTCTTGTATTCGCGATACAATCCAATGAATATGTACCATAGAAATTATTTACTTACTAAGAATTCTCTAATTTAATCTTAGCATATATACTGTGATCGTGATCATAAAGAGAAATCTAAAAACATAATATTAGAAGATAATAACTTGCGATTCGTTAAAATAGACTTTCAAAGAACTTATCGAAAATATATGTATCTATGTGAATTAATATCAATTCGATTTACACATAAGAATTAGTAGAGTAAAAAAAACAATTAATTGAGGGTTGAACGGAAACCGATTGAGTGCAAACGTTTACCAAAAATGCAAATTATGTTTGGAACAATTTTATGTGTTTTATTGAAAGGTTTAATATTGACAAAGGCAACTATCACGTCGAAGGATGATAACACTTCAAACATCCTTCAGGAAGAAAGTATTTCCATGTATCCGGATTTAAATTTCACGCAGGTAGGAGATATTTTTCGCTTGATTAAGAAACAATTGAATGTTATTGCAGCTAGTAGTGTGACTAAAAATGAATGAATATATTATATATTCTATCTATATATTATAATAAGATAAGATAAAATAAAACAATTCAATATAAAAATAAAAAATATATATAATGTTGTAAAAAACAGATGGATAAAGTTTCGAAATTTTATTTACAAATGAATGTTATATAGTATATTGAATTTAATTAAAACGATATTTTAAAATTTGACTATGTATTTTCTCTCTTTCTCTTTCTCTCTCTAGATATATATACAGGGTGATCCAAAAGTATGGAAACGGCCAAATAACTGTGGAGGAATGCACTTTGGAGAAAAAAGTTTGAGACAAAAGTTGTAGGATTTTTCCCGGGCAATCCGACGGTGACCTTAGATTTGACCTTGGATAGTCATTTGAAGGTCACATAAAGATTACCTTCAATTTCTTAAATGGAACTTTCTATTTTTCATTGCATATTCTTGTAGCTTATCTCGAGAGCTTTCCAAAACACTATAATTAAGTACCTTTTTATTAAGTACTTTTTGAGTTATAAGGCTTGAAATAATTTCTTAATTTTACATAAACCATAAAATATCTAGTAAACCATTCATTTTTCGATTATCTTACCTTCATACTTTTATGTACAAAATAATGAGAGGAATCAATTGGTGTAAAGAAAGCACATAGTTGTTTCTAAGAAAAAATATGTAATTTGCAATTAACAATTCCAGAAGGTAATCTTTATGTGACCTTCAAATGACTATCCAAGGTCAAATCTAAGGTCACCGTCGGATTGCCCGGGAAAAATCCTACAACTTTTGTCTCGAACTTTTTTCTCCAAAGTGCATTCCTCCACAGTTATTTGGCCGTTTCCATACTTTTGGATCACCCTGTATATACATACATATATATATATATACATACATATATATACATACATATATATATATACATATATGTATAATTATATATATAATAATTATTTAAAAAATAACAATTTTTAAATTTAATGAAGTTTTCTGTCTACTATCGGCTACATTAATATATACATACGATGACACTTCAATAGATTTTTATGTTATTTTTCTTCAGTTTCCAAACTTTCTTTATCTTTCTAGATATTATTTATAATATTTATAATATTTATAATATTTATTGATATAAGATTTAAGTAGATTTTATTTTAAGAAATTAATTTGAAAAGTTAGCACCACTTCTTTTTGTTAAGGGTAATTATATATAACGAAACAGAGCTAAATATCGAGATAGAAAATCCGTCTAACAAAAAAAATCGTTCATCAAACACTCTTCAAATTGTATCTATTAACGCTAATATTTCAATCGACGATACATTCGATAACAATTGCTAGAATTTATATTAATTTTCATTGTACATATATCCATTCATATACAATTACATGCACATATTCTTATCGATATCATTATCGATTTATATTATCATTTTCAGGATTTGATTGTTAAAAATATAACGACACTCGAGAAAAATCTTGACAAAGATATAAATAAAAGAATATATATAATTTCTATGACTAATATTTAATAACTGTAAAGAAACAATATTTTTAACCTTTTTATGCGTGAAGTACAAACATTAATAGAACTTTAGTAATATCGGCAAATTTTTGAAAAAAATTTAAGTTACGTAAAATTGAGAAGAGTTAACTAATCTATCATGAGAAAAAATCAAATCGTTAGACAAAATTGTTTTAATAAATGCAAAGAATTACACTTTCGCTTCTACTACTTGCTAAAAGCTGTTATGATTCGTCATTGACTCTTGTTAACCTATATTGATTGATTTTCTTTTTGATATGATAAGTTATGTTTATACAAGATGTTTTAAAAAAAAATAAAAAATACAGTTAACAATATGAATAAAACTAAAATCGCATTAAATTTAGGAATGGTTTATATCAAACCGATATTATTAAGCATACAAAAAACGAATGGTAATTTTTCGTTTAATTTTATAATTTATATAATTTATCATTAAAAGAATCAGAAACAACTGCTTCAACAATATTCATTTTATAATTCTTTTCGTATGTTACACTTTGTGAAGGATATTTTAATGTCCGAGAAAAATAATCATGTACTAAATTTCAAATCTGACCGGAGTCATTCTGATAGTATTATGAGAAATGAGCAAAAAGTCGATGAAGTTACACTTGCAAATATTTCTATCATCCCAGAATCTATCGGTAAGTTACAAAAAAATGTATCAAACATTAATAACCTAATCTATGACGAAAAAGGGTAAACATAATTTAAATTTAAGAGAGAGTGGAAATCAAATCTAAAAATATCTTCAGCAGTGAAAAAAATATAAATTCTATTTTGTCCAAAAAAGAAATAAAAAGACATAATACAAATATAACATTGTACATGATTTAAGGTAAAGTCAATTTTATTAATTTGCTACTTGGTTTTAAAGCAATCGCAAATATTATACTTTTGATTTCTTAAGTTACAGGAATTTTTCGAAAAGTACTTCTTATTTTATTGAAAGTTATTTATTCGTTTTTGCCATGAATTAACGATTACTTTTCCAAATCTTAAATAAAAAAGTTTTTATATTATTTTTTTAGAGGTCAATATTGTGTTAATTTCCATATTTTGTAAATTGCTTTTTTATTTATTTTTTCTCTTTCCTTTATTTTCACATTAAATTGTTCTCTCTGATTTACTGAGATATCCACATAATTATTAATATAATTATGTTAAATAAATTGGTATATAATTCGGCTCTATGTATTTAAACAACATAATAATTAAGTAACGAGCACTGAGAGCCCAATAAACGCGGATGGCAATGCGTAAATTTTTACGAACATTAATTGTTCGCGAAAAATTTTTTTAAGACATATGCACATATGCCAAGTTATAGATTCTCTTGGTTTGAGACTTCTATAACAACCCCTTTAACCCCCTGGAGAGATGTAGACAGGAAAAATATCGGGGCGAAGTCGCGTTTATTGGGCTCTCAGTGCTCGTTACTTAATTATTATGTTGTTATAATTATGTTAATATGTACAATCTATTCTAGAAAACAATTTGGACAAACCAACATCTCTCAGAGCATTTGTACAATTCGACAGTCAATTCACAGAAAAAGTAAACGACATTTTTGTGACATTGAGGTAAAGAATCTAAATTATCAGTTTGTATTCTTTCATTTTTTTCTCTTTTCTTAAATTCAACGACATAAATATATCAAAATGTTAATTCTATTATAATTTTACTAAATATAAAAAGACTGAAATGTTATTCTTTTATAGATGGAATCAACCTGAATCCGATGAAATAGTACAAGGGTACACGGTGCAGTGTTTTTTCATTTAAAAGCGATTCAAATCTGCGACGATAAAAATATCACCACTACAAAATTGGAGCACACGGTTCACAATCTAACATTTAACATGACATATTATTTTCGAGTACGTGCGCATACAAAAATTGTTGCTGGAAATTACACGGATTTAATCAATGTGTCGACTACACATGGAAATCCAATACCTAAATTATTACTCACAATGAATTGAGATATCCAAATATGGGACGCGGATTTAAACATCATTACTAATTTTGACATATCGTTACAGTACGTATATTGATAAAAAAAATAGTTAGAATTATGAAATTATTTTTGACACTATAAAGATAAAGTTATTATTACTACGCACAAGTTTATTATTAACATTATAGCACAAGTTTATTATCAACATTATAGTAGTAATAATTATAAAATTAGAAATTTCAACTATAATTTTTTTAATATACTATTATAGTTGACTCCTTTTTTTAGATCAAGATTAATAGATGTCGCTTATTCGATACAAGAATATAGAATATATTGGATAACCCGAAGAGACTTAATGACATTGAAGATTAATGAAAATAATATCTTTGATCATGCAACAAAAATAAATAGCTTTGATCATGATCTACATGATCTCTGCATTGACTGAGTAGCAAGGAATCTATATTTGACCTATCAAGAGTCAGGCTACTCTGTAAACTCTGTAAACTCTCACTACATTGTAAAGTTCGACTTAACAATATGGGAAAATGGCATAATTAAATTTGATAATATTTTGAAAAAAATCTTTGCTATTGACTGTTTAAATGTATTACCATCTATAGGGTACGTCTACTACCGTTCACCTGAAAAAACAATTTTTCCATTAAAGATTTATGCAAATTTGTAATTTTTTTATAATACGTATTTTACGTAGTTTTATAATTAACATCATAAGTAAAAGGACATAATAAGTTATTATATAATTATAAGAATTTTAAATTTTTACTACATATAAGTTCTGTTTTTGTTAAAATAATGTTTCATAATGAGTAAAATAATTATATATTTTTTAGAATTTTATATTACACATCATACAATCAGACGACTACAAAATATGATATGATAAAATATCATTTCGATGAAAAAAACGAGCAAATTGTTGAGATGAATACTTCCTTTCAACTAATTTATTATATAAAGTCTTTTAGTAATATGATAATTGATAACATGAATAATGAAGAATCGTTAATTTACTGATTAAATGATTGGAGTACAATTGTAACAGACATTAATATTTCTAAGTACAATTACATTTTGAACATAAGTTATGATGTCAATTTCGAATCTATGACGATTGACAAAACAAACATTTACATTTTAGCATTTGATTCGCAATATATTCTCTATGTTTTGAAAAAGAAATACGCAAGTCTCAAGAGCGTCCCAAATGCATACAAATATGTATCCAAGTAATTTCAGCGATTTCTACAACGAGAATTTAAGCAAGATCAATCACATATACTCAGAACCAAACAATATTACTTTGAGCGAAGTCAACATAAATAGCATGGACATTTCATGGATTTCAAACATTAATTTGACGGTTTTTTCTACACTAGAGTATAAAGATATTGCAGCAGAAAAGAGGCAAACAACGAAGTATATTAAAATGAATTATAACAAAGAAATAATATATCATATCGGAAATTTACAATTGGGAACTTTATACAAGTTTCGCTTGATATTGAGATATCCCGAATATGACGAAACTTTTACATGGTCGATTGATGAAAGATTTATTTTTTCAATACGTGGTAGCAAACGTGGTAAGCAAATTAAGATATCTATACAACACAATAAGGTTGCAGATATATTGAAGAATAATTTCATTGCAATACTGCAAATCGATCGCGAAACTCTCCTTATTAGAGTTATTATTATAAGACAATGTTATGATGACAACGTTAAGATGTTCACTTTTTGCAATATTGCAATGAAATATATATTATAACAACATTGCAGTCTAATATATTTGAAAGAATGCAATGTTACTGCAATCATTTAAAATATTACGTATAAAATACACTAGTCAAGAAAAAATAGAAAACACTTTTTGAACCATTGGGCTACGCAATTGAGAGGTGCGAAAAAATTAAAGAGTGTTATAGTTTTAAAATGTTTCTAAAATATAAATATCGTATTCCTAATATCTAACTTTGTTAATTTATATTTCTGCAATGTTTCCGTAATGTGTTACAATTTGCAATATTGCAACATTGTCACAAAGTAGCTGTAATATTCTATGGTGCATAGATGTTGTAATATTATATGCTTATTTTTTTCTATATGAATAGAGACTGATAAAATTTAAAAAATTTATTTATTTATTATTAATTTATTATTATTTATTTATTATTAATTTATTATTATTAATTTATTATTATTAATTTATTATTAATTTATTATTCTTTTATTATTAATTAATTTATAATAACGTTATTAGTAGATATAAGTTTTTAAATAAAACGCACACACAAAAATATTAAAATTATGTTTTTGCGTAAAATAGATGATATTTCGAACACTCCTGGAAAGACGAACTATTATTTACTATTGATGTTAAGTTTTATCGTTATAGTTATTATAATCTGCATCTGCTATTTTTACTGCTGTAAGTATATTTGATATAGGTATCAACTTAAATTGTAGATTATGCATATATATCTGATATAATAGAGATTTACTGAAACTATTAATTTACTAGTGATTTACTTATATAAAATTAAACTAATAAATTTACTAAAAAACGATAAATTTTATAATACATATTATTACATAATTAAATCGAAATTTTATAACAGTATATCATCGACGCAGAAATAATAATGAGCAATTTTTGCCTTCAACAATGGCCGACATGGAATTAGCGATTCTACATGAAGTACCTTGCCAAAACACTCAATTGAATATGCTTTACAGTCCTACATTGTTACATTATAACCCGGATGAATAAGCGATAACTAAAATCGAACGTAAACAAAACACATTAATAAAACTTCTTGGTAGCAGCGCATTTGGAAAGGTAAAAATTAGTTTTTTCAAGCAATGTGTTTCAAATTAATTTCTAGTTTCAAAAAAACAGACCTTTCCTAATAAGGACATAAATTATATGAATTTTTATAGTAGATTATATGTAATATAAAATTTAGATGAGACAACATCATGTACTTTGTTACATAATTTTCGTTGAATTATTTAATATAAAATAAAATATAACGATACTTGACATTATTCTATACATTTTTAAGTACATATTTAAATTTGTATCAAATATTTTGCAGGTATTTCAAGGAAATGTGAAGAATTTAGAAAGGTCCGGCATAGAAATATCCGTTGCAATAAAAACGCTTCGGAAAGATGCTTCTTCCAATGAGAAAAATAAATTTTTAAAAGAAGTCAAGCTTATGAGTCACTTTCGACATGAACATATATTAAGATTGTTGGCCATTTGTGAAGATGGGGATTCTCCATTACTAGTGTTGGAATTGATGGAAACTGATCTGTCAAAATATTTGAGAGATTGTCGAAATTTGGAAGCGTCAGATCTACATGCTCTGCGTTTGCAGGATTTATTTGCCATGTGCGAAGATGTTGCGCGAGGTTGTTGCTACTTGGAAGAGTTACGCTTCGTATATAGAAATCTAGCGTGTCGCAATTGTTTAGTATCTTCGAGAAATCGCGAGTATCGTGTCATTAAAATTGATTTTGGACTAGCTAGAGATATCCACAAGGATGATTATTATCGCGGAGTAAATGCAATTATTTAAAATTTAATTATTAAAACAATGAATTCTTTTGGAAATGCTTTCAATTTTTTATCATAATATTATTGTCCATTTTTTGAATAATATTGAGTATAAATAAATTGTTTATATTTATATAAAGTAAGTGAAAATAAAAGTTTTTTTCATTTTGCACATATTTTATTCTAAATGAACAACTTGAGCAAGAAAATTAAATTTTTGTTAAAATCATGTTTTAGAAAGGAGAAGAGTTGCTTCCTGTTTGCTGGATAGCACCGGAATCTTTGATATTCGGCACATTTACTTCTCAAAGCGATGTTTGGTCATTTGGTGTTTTAATGTGGGAAATTACATCGTTGGGAGCAACCTTATATTGGCAAGTCTATTCAAGAAGTAATAAATTATGTACGTGCTGGAGGCAGATTGTCAATGACTCTTAACTGTCCGTCAATATTGTACCAGTTGATGTTATTAAATTATGTACCAGTTGATGTTATTAAATTATGTACGTTGCTGGAGTACAGTGGATACTAGGCCAAATTTCAAATTTTGTTTGAAAAATATTATAGCATTAAGAAAGAACATAGAAGATGCCTTACTGAGTCCAGTCGATACTATTTAGCCGATACAATTAAATTAATGTTTATCTTCTTTTCCGAACGCTCCGATAAAGCTTAATGTAGGAAAAATAATTTTAGAATATTTCTACATTGATTCTGTTATTTTTAGATTTAATATTAATATTAGATTTATCAATAAAGATAAAAGAAATTTTTTAATCTTACCTTTCATAAAATCTGGATTATTAAAAAGTATCACATCTATTTTCATGATTGTACAACACGTAATATAATGATATATCTAATTTGTGTTTTTGAATAATCGAAGCAAAACTTAATTGATTGCGATTATATATATGTATGTATAAACAATATTTTTTTCAATATGGAAGTATTAGGTAGTAAACTTAGTTTCCGCAGTTTTTTTGCTTAAAAAGCTCATTTATTTCGATATCAAAAGCAAAAAATACATTAATTTGTAAAGTATTTGCCCTCGCTAACTATACATTTTTCCTATCTTTTTGGCAATAAGTAGATTCCGCGGCGACAGAATTTTTTAAAGATTTTAATTCTTTTTAAAATAACGCCGAGTATCGCATCGTAGAGAAAAATAAATTACAAACGGAATGCAGTTAATAAAATGTCATGGCAACACATGATCCGATTGATCATTCGAAGTCAGTTATATTGTGATTGCCAGTCAAAATGGTTATCGCGTACTTGTCGCTTGATTCAAACTGCATCATATGAATATCACAAAAAACATGTAATTGTGTACGAATAACATGTAATTGTGGATTTTAAAAAGCATACGTAGTAACACAATCGTATGATGTGTATATATATGAATTAATATCAATTCGATGAGCACATTAGAATTAGTAAAGTGAGAAAAACAACTAACTAAGAATTCAACGAAAAGTGATTGAGAGCAAACACTTACAAAAAATGCAAATTATATTTGGAACAATTTTATATATTTTATTGAAAGGTTTAGTACATACAAGAGCAACTATTACGTTTATGCCGAAAATTTATAAGACTTCAAACAGCCTTCAGAAAAAAAAAATTTCTATGTATCCGGATTTAAATTTCACGCAGGTAAGAGATATTTTTCGTTTGATTAAGAAACAATTGAATGCTATTGCGGCTAGTAATTTATAAATGAATGATAATAATAATATATACTCTCTCTATCTATATAATAAGATAAAATAAAATAAAAATGTCGAACATAAAAAAAGTGTGTTATAAGAAAAGGATGTATAAAGTTTTGAAATTTTATTTATAAATAGAAGTGTTATATAGTATAATATATTAAGTTTAATTAAAACGTTATATTAAAACTTGATTGTATTATTCTCTCTCTCTCTCTCTCTCTCTCTCTCTCTCTCTCTCTCTCTATATATATATATATATATATATATATATATATATATATATATATACAGGGTGTCCGAAATGTGTGGGAACACCTAAATATTTCGGAAAATAAGCATAATAGAGAAAAATGTTTCAAACAAAAGTTGTAGGGTTTACAAAGATCTTTACTAATTTTATCAGTCTGACCTTGAGTGGCGTCCCTAAGGTCAGGTCAAGGTCACGTCGATTTTTGCAAACGGAACACCCTATTTATGATACCAGAAATTGATAGCTGGTATCAAGAGCTTTCCAAAACACTACAGACAAATGTTTTTTCATTAAGTACTTTTTGAGTTATAAGGCTTCAAAGTTTGCAGTACTTCGATATAAAATGCAAAATATCTCGTAAAATATTTAGTTTTCGGTAGTCTTAACCTAATACTTTTATGCACAGGATAATGAAACAAAACTATTGGTGCAAAGAAAACG